CATTTCCGGCCATCTCCCATCCAATCCTGCATCCATCGCTCGCGAGCGAAACCCATCTCCGACGAAAGTTGAAATAATGATCCGAAACCGACAATGGAAAGAGCGGCAATATATATATATAGAGAGAGAGAGAGAGAGTGGCGGATGAGTTGGCGCCCAGAGGAGGGTGAGTTCAAAATTTGAATATTTTCTCATTTATATTTGATTTATGAATTTTATTTGGCAGTTCCTCCCCTGCAAGCATTAGAAGCGTCGTCGTCTCGGTTTGTTACGTACTCATCGCTAATAGGCGCTAAACCATTAGACTCGATCATACTACGTATTGAACTCATACACAGCCAGCGAAGAAAGCAAAGAGCAGATAAAACTACCTGTCATTTGTTGAAATCATTTCCGCGTAGCCAAAGAGGCCGCCCGACTTAATAAGTTGGCGCCTAGTTTCCCATTTCCACAAACACCTGATGGGCCATTCCCATTTCCTCCCGAGTTAAACCAGATTCCACAACATGAAACCTGGATTGGCATGGAATTCCAAGAACTGTGACTCCAAGACAATGGAACAAGCACGTCTCTGCTCGTCACCAAGCTCGCCTTCCTCCTCGGCGATCAAGAACGCTCGAGGACGTTACACGTGAGTTCCTCCTGTCTCCGCTTCCCGACACTTTCTTCGGCACTAAGAACGTGATCCGTTAGGCCCGAGCCAGTGTTACTGAAGGCCTAGCCTGGCCCGTCAAGGCCCAAGCTCGGACGTTTGACAGCGCTGTCCCTTTTCTCTCCGATCCCACTCCGCCGGCCGCCTCGGAGCGTACCACCGTTGCCTCCTCATCTTCCTCCTATTTATACCTCCTTCACTGCCAGCTGGTCTGGGTGGGAGTGGTCCGAATCGCCCAAACTCGCTGCTATAAGTCGAAAGCAGACCTCCTTCCCTCCCTCCTCCTGCTTTGATCATCAGAAGATCACTATATCTCCAGATCTGAGGCGGTTTGGAGTCGATACCGGTCCGAAAGGTAAGTCTTTCTTCTTCCTTTTCTACAGTATTAGAGTCTCTGACGAGCAATTTGTGATCAAAGAATGGCTTTTTGAGCTTCCTTTTAGCAAAGATCAAAATGTGTGCTTTCGGAGATCTGCTGTTATATCTCTTCCTCAAATCTGACGATCGAGAGATACCTAATTCACCATGACTTCATGCGGTCGCAGCCCGGGCGCCCGCCCGATTGAACTCAGGCCACCCCAGCCACAAACCCCCGCGGCGGCGTATTTCTCTCCATAGGCGAACGGCGGCAGTCTCTCTCTCTCTCTCCCGGCGATCCCTTTACCTTCCCTCTTCAGCTCCCTATTTCCCGACATAATCCTCCCCCTCCCTTCTCCTCCCTACCCCCGCCCCCAGTTCATCGCAAACCCCCCTTCCCCGATCCTTCCTCCCTCTTCCCCCTTTCGTCGCAGCTCCCCCCTCTTTCCCGACACCATCCTCCCCCTCCATCTTCCCCACTCGCGCCCCTCCCTCCCGCGGGCGCCGATCATGACAACCCCCGTCTCCTTCCTCCTCCCCGATAGCTACACCCCTCTTCGCCTTCTCTCTGCATCCTCCCATCCCCCTCCCTGATAACCTGCTACCCTCCAACCAACAGTCATCCGCATGCTCCCCTCTTCTTTTTCTGGTTGCTTCTTCCTCCTCTTGTTAGATTTTTAACGTTAATCTTCTTCTTTTGTTTTCTCATTTTGTCATTTTTATTATTAGATTTGCACAATATATTACTTTGGTACTATAAATGAATGTAATTTAATATTTTGATGGTGATATTTGAAATATAAAGTGCTATAGAACTATGTAATTTCTCATTTTTATTTTTGTGATCATATTTTTCCTTAATTATATATTTTTTAAATTTTTAATATTTATGATCATCTAGCTTTGCTCATGCATTTTGGCACCTTTTAGCTCTTAGCGTCTTTCACTACACAGTGTTATCATGAGATTCATGATGTACACAGTAGTTCAGATGCAAATGAAAAGTGGAAAGGCGATTGTGAAGAAAAGTTGTGTTTGTTCTGTGGAATTTATTTGCTGAGGTAATTATATGTACGTCCATTGCTCTTGGATAGTCTTTCCTTTCCATATATTCTCTATAAATCATCCACCATTGCAAGTATATGTTCTACAATATTGATGCTAACTAGCTGGTCTCTCGTAATTATGCACATTGTTGTTCTATCATTCTGCTTTCAGTATTAAATAGTAGTCTAATCCGTGAAGTAGATTGTTGTTGGACATTCATCAGTGCTATTCGTAATTTCAAGCACGTATTTTCACTCTCATAGCATCTCTGTCAAGGTGGCATTATACTTTTGGATATTGTTGCTGTTAGCTTTTGCCACTTCTGCATTTTTTTAGACTCCTTTTCCATTTAACTTTCTGAAGTGTCATTATATTTATACTTTTCACATTGTTTTTACAATGTGATCTATAATCTTGCACAAAGTAACTGGAAACCCTGATGTCAATGTACTTTCAGCATTGTAATCCAAGCATTTAAAGGCTGTTAAGCTGACACATATTCGGAAGCTTTGGTGGACTTCAAGGACGCAAGTGTTTGATCTTCATTAAAGAAGTATTGATGGTATCCAATATAAATTAAAGAAAACTTTTCCATCGTCAAGGAGGAACAGCATAATTCTCAAATGTTATTAGCAATCAGGATGGAGAAGTTTCAGAGAGTTCCAATTCTCTTGAATGAAAAATTCAGAATACATTTCTCAAACAGAGTTGTTTAAACAAGTACATCATATATCGCTAACATTGGACTTCATGGATGCATTATATAAGAAATGGAGAAGAAGATGCCTTTCAAGGATTTCAGTCTATCTGATGTGTTTACTTGCCCCTATTCTGTGCTTGCTTTGTTTAATTAATTCAGAACTCCCTGAGGTGTCACTCAGCAACAGTGTCATGGGATCACCCAGGAACTTGACATTCACCAAGACAGTGGAGGGAGTAGGACTTGGGGAACTTGGGGACATGATGGTCGCAATGTTGCCCGATGATCTTGCATTTACCATATTTGTTCCGTCAGAGGAGGCCTTCGGGCGTTTGCTAAAACTGAGATCCCATGACAGCGTGAGCAAGGATAGACTAAATGAGACGTATGCGGTCGTCTCTCGTGTAATGGGGTTTTCTGCAGTTCCTCAACATATACCATCTAAAGTAATTCCTTTGCACAAGGAGATGACATTTGAATCTGTATCAGGATTCAGATTATATGCTTGGAAAGATTTAGATGGAACGCTGGTTGTGAACGGCATTAGATCAGAAGTTGTTGATATCAGAAAAGCTGAAATCATTGTGCATAAAATGGATGGTGTGCTCATGGATGCTGAGTTTGAGCAGTCATTCCCACCGGATTATGAGGACTGACATTTCGTCGAAATATGTCCAAATACCATCTAGTACTTGATATGATTAGTGTTTTTTCTGCTATTTAATGATAGTCCATTCATTATCAGCTCCTTGTATTGGTAAAGATTATGTGAATTATCAGTCTGTCTTCTCCAAAGGGGAAGACACGAACCGACCTAATTCACTCCATGTTAAAGTCCTCTGCTGAGGTAAGTTAAATCTTTCAAAAACAGAGAGGGTTAACAGAGGTTCCTTTGGAGGAATTCCTTTCTGTGGTGTTAAATTATTTTCAATTCGTTTGTTAAAATTGTTTTTCATATTTGGATAGTCGGAAGAATACTTTTTGTATTGATTTGATGATGACGGAACAGCTAAGATGATCAAACTAGAAACATTTGTTGCATGATATGTAATCAATCACGCATCTAACATGACACTGGGGTCTTATGTATTCATCATTCATGTTTTTTTATGGTATCAAAGCACATTAATAGATTGAGCTCTTTCCTAGCATCATGCATTTGAGATTACCCATCATCCAAATCTAAATCTAAATCTTTTTAGTTTGAATCATGCATTTGGATATCACCATCGGTGCTGCAGGACACCAAGTATGCGGTTGCTGATGATGTGTTACCGTATGGGACCGTGGTGCCGGCCAGTTCCACCGTGGCGTGCTCCATCTACTTGGTGGGGAGAATGGAGACGATCTGGGGTAAAGACTACAGGGAGTTCCGGCCGAGAGGTGGCTGTCCTACTCTGGTATTCCTCCACAATCCTACTCTGTAATTGTCCGTTCATCTATTTGTTTGGTCGCATTTTGTTGGATATCGAACAGAAGTCTCTTCTTCCTTGGGATCATGTACCGAGGGAAATGATACTATATACTTCAGTTGTCAGCTTCATCTACCATCTGCTATGCGCGCTCTTTCTTTAGATTATGGTCATGACCACGAAGGCACACACTGGTCTCTTTCTTTGTATTTAATCTTTTTATGGTGTTACGGTACATGGAAGATATTTGGACATATATACCGTGTCGAAAGATTGGGATTCGATATGAATGAATAACAAGAAAGATTGGATTCGATCATATATGAATAAATTTATTTAGGGTTTCAATTCTTAATCAGACCTAATTTGGATCGACTTCTTCTTCTGGATCATATATGACTTCTATTTAGGGCTTACATGTGCTTGCATACAAGTACAAAAATAAAATCGATGTGATCACCACACAAAATAAGAAATGATTGGATTTGATCACATCGAAAATGAACTTTAGTCAGATCTTTTGGTAAATATCGGACCAGATACGAGTCTGTCTTGTCTTGTTTGTGAACCTTATACAGTGGCCAAGGAGCCATGACAGTTTGGTTCGATTATTGATGTCCAGGAAATCTCTGGGATGAGGTCTTCATCGAGTCGGTCGGGATGCGCTTCTGCAGTGACTACGCCTACCTTTGTCATCGTCGAATTCCTATACTCTGGCCTAGGTCAGAATGGGAGGGGTATCTCGACTTAAGCCCCTCCAAAGATTAATTCAGTGGAACTCTATGGTAGGAGGCTTTTATTCTGGTTGCTGAGGGTCGTTCATACGTGATCTTTGCACGACGGTCAACTCCCTGGGTAGCAAGTTCGTACCTTCGGACGACCGCCACCCGATATGTGCGGATCAACACCATGCGATATCGTCCCGAGCTTCCTAGAACGGTTCGTGTCAGGATGATGCTGGTTCGTGCAACCCCAGACGTCGGGGGGTGGGGGAGTGACCGTCATCCCGAATCCTTGGTGCCGCGTCTTTCTCCTAAGGTTCTGCGCTTGCACTGACGTCGTTAGGGGTGTGTCCAAGTGGTGAGATCCACACTATACTCTATGATGTCTCATTTGTTGTATATAATTGATGGAGAATTTTGCTTTCTTGTTTGTGCATACACATCTTAAAATTAAATCTTGCATTCATTCTTTAAAATATTTGATAGGGTGAGACAAACATCAAAAGACTATTCGATAGGGTAAGACATAGACACCAACATCATAAAGTCGATCGCGTATATTTATCACATCAATAATAATAAAAATAACATAAACACCAAAAGACTATTCAATAGGGTGAGACATAGACACCAACATCATAAAGTCGATTATTCTTCGATTCATTCTTGATATTGAGAATATTGCACCAATCATGAGCGAGTGACGAGTGAATCTCGCATTCTTTAATACTTGATAGGGTGAGACACATACACTAAAAAGATTACTCGATAGAGTAAAGTGTAGACATCAACGTCGTAAAGTCGATCTCATATATTTGTCACATCAATATCGATTAAAATAAAATTAATCTTTGAATCATTACACTAATCATGAGGGAGCGATTAGTGAGCTCAAAGCTATAAATAGAAAAGCATCCAACAGCCATAAATAGAAAAGCATCCAACAATAGCCTATATATTCTCTCTCTATCTCTCTCCTCTCTCTACATCACTTACTCTAATGCTTTAAGAATGCTGCCACTTGTGCATCGATTGATTTAGGCTAATTGATCTCAACTCCTGAAAGCATTCGCTACTTACGTTGTCTTAGTGCTACATATGTCCTCGGCCACCAATTCACGAGCACTGCATGATAGGTTACAGTTTACGATCCAGTCTTGTGTTTGCAGGAGAGGCTATTTCGACCACCACCGCATCCGGGAACGTCACAAAGTCGGAGCAAGAGACTGCAGTCAATATCCCACAGCAAAGGAGACGGAAGAAGGTGGAGGAATAGTGTTGGGGAATCTTTATAGGCATAGGTGTCAACACGACTCGGTCCAATTATCTGGATATGCAAAGTTGCCCATGCAAATGCTTGGATAGTGAATGTGAGCGTCGGGTTAGGTTTGGTTCGAGTTTCATCTCCTGAGGCTAGCCTTCTCCCTTGGTATGTTACCTATTCTTCGTTGTCGAATTCCTACACATTGGCCGAAGTCAAGAGGAGGATTTCCTGACTCGATCCCTCCAAAGTTTAAGTTAATGCTGAGTGGAGTAAGAGGAAGTTGAGTGCTCGAAGTTCTCCCCCTTTGATGTTGGTCAGGGGGTTAGTTTTTATACCTGCGAATGACGATCGTATATGGTCCATTAATGATTACTGACACCTTGGATAGTTGGCTTGTACCTTGTGGGCGAGTACCGATCGATCTGTACGGACCCGTATCGTGTGGCGTCGTTCCGAACTTTCCACAATGGCTCTCCGATATACGATGCCGAACAGTACAAGGGTAAGTGGTCGTCCCATTCGGGTATAAGGTATCACAGTCTAAAGCTTCTTTGTTGGCATTGTCATGATCGCTGACCGCTACCATGTGAATGGTACTGAAATAAGCCATATCAAATAGTCAATGAGATATATAGATTCCAGCTTGGTCTCTTATCTGCATGTCCCAGAGAAACCCATGCATGTTGTCCATTGGTGACCTCTACATCCGTCAATTGCTATGGCTAGCCATGCCAATTGCCGACTACATTATTGCGACTACGATGATGAAAACATGTAGAGAGATTTAAAACATGTCCCTGTGTATTAAAAGCCTTCGATTAAAGGCAATATACGAATCCGATTCGTTAAGAAGTGAAGTCTTGTTCGATTCAATTACAGCCTGAAATTAAAGAAATGAGAAGTTGAAGATTAGAAAGCTAAACACACTGTAAAACTCAAGCAAACACCCAAATATTTCCTCGAGTGTACGAAAGATTAAATCTCGCCTCGCTATGAAGGTTCTTATTTGAGCGTGCAAGTCAATGTATCAGACTGCTCTTACCTCGAGATATATGAGCGGTATAGTGATTTATACGTTACATGAGTTTGCTTAACTCGAAGATGGCGACGGCCATCAAACTGGGGAGCTACGTTGCATTGAATTCGGACTCCTCATGTCTTGTATCCGAAGGAGACACGCACTTCCGTACTCCCAACGATAACTTGTCGATTCTGTGTTTGATTTTTTATGAGTACGAATTCTAGGAGTACAGTATTTTAATAATATTTAAAAATATTATAATATAGTATTAAAATATTGAGACGAATTCTTAAAAAAATTATATATTTTAGAAATTTTGATAGAGCACTCTAACTTAAAAAAAATTTGGTAGAGACTCCTGGAACCGTTATTATTAAATATTTAATTTAATAATAATATAACTGTTCTCATTATGATTCATAATTCATTATCATGAATTTCTTCATTTATTATGATTTAAATGATTTCAGTTTTTTATTCTTTATGCATGAAACCGTTATTATTAAATTGAATATTTAATATCATTAAAGTTCTTAATTATGGTCCAAACGTTATAAATTTGAATTAATTCTTGAACGTTATGATTTGGTGATAATAAATGTTCTTGATGGGAGAACATCTATATATATGAGAAATTTGAACCCTGGGCTCAATCATCTCTTTGAAGCGAAAGACTTTCCTACACCATCTAAAGCGAGAGTTCTGAGTCGAGAAGTACCAAAGTTCAAGAAGAAATCTCTGTAGAAATTCTTGGCGACAATGGCGGGAGGTATGCTATTTTGTTTCCGCATCAGTTTTTATTGTGTTTCTATTATAATGATTTAGAAACACAAGTTGGTTTCAGTGATTTCTTACAACTCCTTGCTGAAAAAACTCATTTTACTCTTTTAATCTGATCCATCGTCGCCTCTGCTCTACTCACTGCTTCCTTTTGCCCCGAAGAGCCGTTGCACCGTGGCTGTACATAGAGGCAACCAACAATATAAGCGATCGTTGATCCATTGCCTCCCCTTCCCTTTGCACCGGTCGTAACCTCCTTCCCCCAACTCTAAATTGGTTGTGAAGTTTTCGAGCAAGGAAGGAGCCCTAAACCTCTTTCTCAAAGTTAGGGCTATCAGTCATTGGCCTGCCACCCAAACTCTCCTCTCTATCGATTGCAACCTCCTTCCCCTACAGTCTTAAACTGATCATGAAGGCTACGTTCGAGAAAGAAGCTCTTAAACCTCTTTCTCAAAGTTAAGGATGTGTCCATGGAGATAGGGAGTTAGTGATCGCATGGGAAGGGGAGGGGAGTTAGGGTGACAGACCAACGGATGCTCGTGCTACGAGTCATAACAGTAAGGATGAGGCCTCTACCACTAGCCTCACACCTACGTCACAGGTGACGATGGGTCCGACGCAAGCAACGACAAGGGATTCCTACGAAGACAGGAGCAAAATGAGTTTTTTACACTATCATAAATGCTCTATGGGAATTTCCTAAAGTCCAGATGTTATGCAAAAAAAATATATGTATATATTTTTTAAAAAAATATTTAAAAATATTATAATAACTTTTTTATACAAATTTTATAAAACATTATATTTACTATGTTTTACATTACGTTATAATCTTTTTAAAATGACAAAATATAAAATAATCATAAAACTTATATCATAATATATGTATATTACATTATATTATTTTTAAAATATTATTGAAAAATACTAATGTAATATAAGAAAATATTACAACTGTACCAATTCATTCATCAGCTGGTACATAAGAAAAAGAAAAAAGATAAAAAGAGGAAGGTAAGTGATTAGGAATACTCAAAATATTAAGAAAAAAATAATGTTAAAATTTTTAAAATGGGCACACCTTTCGATAAAAAAAGAAGTTTCATTTTCAAGAATTCGCCTTCTTATGAGATATTAGAGATTTTTTATTACATTTTAAAGTCGTAAACTAATAAGATCGGATCTCGCAGGGCGGCTGCTGCCGTGATCTTAATCTCCATGATTTGGGCCCCACGGCGTCACCCGTATTAATGGCCGTCGGACCCACCCGCGAGGCCAAACAGCTACGCGTTCGTACCGGCCGCACCCGTCGTCGCGTCATGCGTGCGCAAGCGAATGAATCACCGCCACCCACTTGTCTCCGCCCCCTCCCTC